CCTTGCATCCCTTGTGACTTTTGGAAGTGTTAAGCGGATATCATCATTTGGGTGCTCTGTACAATCTATACGCAATTATTTTGGTGAAAAATTGAACAACCAACAATATAATTCATTTACACGTAAATTAGTCTAGAGTTATTTAAACTTTTCTTTTATTCTTATGGATATTAATGTGCTTCAGCAAATGCTGCAAGAGGTCGACCCGTTATATATGAAATTTTAACCCTGTTGTCAGTGGTTTGATGCAAAGTTTTACAGCATTTGCTTTATATATGAAATTTAAACCCGCTCAAAGGTAGAGGATGACCTTTGGGCTTGTTGTGAGAAAAAAAAATTGATTCAGTAAATAAACGATGACTTCAAGATGCTTGCAATTTTACTCCAAGAGTATCCAGTCAACAAAAAACCGATTAATTTTTTTTTTTGAAATTGTTTAAGAATGTGAGCGGGAAATTAATCATCCGGACATACTTCAACATGATGTTTCTTCAGGTTCATTGAATCAGCTCATAGCTATTTTACGGCTGGGGTCTAGAAGGGCAAGGTTTAGTGCTAGAAGGGCTTCGCAGGAGTTTTTTTGGGTCGGAGGATGTCAGAGATATTAAAATAGCTTAATTGATTGAAGTAATTTTATCTTAATTTGATTTAGGTTTAAATAAATTAAATTATATAAAAAAAAATATAACACCAAATAATACAAATTATTATAAATACAATGCTTTTATAAATTTATTTATTTTAATGTTAAAATAAATTATTACAAAAAAATACTTTTACTTTACTCTGGATATATCTAACCAAACAAGGGAAACAATTCTCCTGCGTTTATTTTGCATGCAACCAAACAGGCTTAAAGTATTTAGAATGCATTGCATTTACTTTACATTGCATTTACTTTACACTGCATTTCTTTTTCAGGCAACCAAACAGCCCCTAAAAGAAATAAAAAACCTTACAATCAACGGGTAAACGACGGGAGGCGGACCGCAAATACTAGCGGTCGGAACTGGAGCTCTCGCTGGCGAGGAGTGCTATGACCGTCGGCGACGTGCGGTGACTGTCGGCGACATTTGGTGACCATCAGCGACCTCGATCTACGGCGAGCGACGGAGGGCGACGAGCGAAACAGCGGCGATGTGAGAGAAAGCCACGAAAGAAATGAGCGGCCAGAGGAGCTCGAGTTCGAAAATAGGGCTTTCGCCGCCGGATTTTCCGGCGTCCAAAACGCCGGAAACCTTTCCGGCACAGTATGTGCCGGTACAAAGTCGTTGAGTTTAAAAAGCCCGGCGCATTATCCGTCGGTAAATGTGCCCGTTATTTTTCCGCCGTAATGTGCGCCGGGACCACTAAGATGTTGGTTTTCGCCGACGTACTTTCTGGCGCATGTGACGTCGGACACTTTCCGATGTCCAATGCGCCGTAAAATACGTCATAAAATTTTCGTTGCAGCATGCGCCGTTTCAGGCGCCGTATTTTACCGGCGCAAAACGCTCGGCCGGAAATTCCGACAGTAATCGCGTATTTTCCTGTAGTGTGGCGTCGATCTTGCGGAGAGAAGAGAGGGGTTAGAAGACCAAGACGAAGAAAGAACAAGCTCGCAAGCTTTCCTAAAGGAAGATGAAGAGGTGGAACAAGCGCGCAAGCTTTTCCAAGAAAGAAGAAAAACCTCTCAAGATTTTTGGCTCCAAAAATCACATTATATCAACCTTTTTATGCTTCAAAACATCTCTAATTATAAGAGAAAAGAGGCAGCCAAACGGCCAACAACCTCACTCCAAACCAATCAAGAAAAGGGAAATAGAAGGCCAAAAGGCATACCAGGACAGCAGCTGAAAAACCACCCAAAAATCAGGCCAAATACATCCATGTACAGGCTACCAGGAAAGAAACCGAAGAGGCAGCTCAAGGGGGTGGAACCAGCAGGAAAAAACCAACAGCCAACCATGGGAACAACACCAGACAAAAGAAACTGAAAAGGCAGCCAACACTCAGCTTTAAATCTCAAAGAAGAAATCAAGGAGACACAAGAAGAGGAAGAAACAAGCTCCACTCCAAATATCTTTATGAATTTATGATTTAGGAAGTGCATTTATATCATCAAATAATGAGTTAAACATCAGCTCAAGCATTAATGAGCTAGCACCAAGTAGATCTCAACATTTCAGCTCATAATCAAAGCAGCCAAAGCCCAAACCGAGAGCAGCTAAGGACCAAACCAAGAGGCAGCAAGCAGCCCAAAGCAAAAAAAGACCCAAATTGATTTGAACCCCCCCCCCCCCCTGCCTACATCACTATTAAGTTTAAAAATTAAAAATAATACTTTGATTGAATGAACAGCTAAATAAGCAAATACTTTAACAAGCATAAGCAAGTAGCTTGTGTTCATAACTAAAAGCAATATAATATTGAAAAGAAGAAAATTCCCATATAAACGCAACAAATAAATTTATAATTAAATCTTAAATTCGCATATTATTAAGCCTTAATCAAGCTTCTTGATGAGCTTGCTCACGAGTTTTACATGATATTGTTCGTGATTATAAACAAATCAAACACCAAGTTAGTCAAATTTGTTTATTTATCAATCAAATATTTATAATGTTCAAGCTTGTTCAATTAGTTAATTAAATGATTAGGAATGAGCTCCAATAGTGCCAAGCCAAGAGTAACTTATCAAGTGTATTTGTTCATTTGCAACTCTAGTTGTAGACTTCCTTCAATGCCCATAATAATGGATGTATTTCATTTTGGTCCCTCAATTTTGAAGTTTGAGCCTTTTATTTTATTAGTCCATTTTATTCAAACTTTCTCTGCTTTAGCAAAAAGGGATAATTTGCTTATTTTAGTTAATTGAATCATTTAATACAGATAAAAAGGTCCACTCGGTGTTCTTCTTGGTAGACTTGTGCAACAAATGTTTCAGGCCTGATTCAGTCCAATTTAGGCATAGTAATGCATATATGCAGACTTGCCCATGAATTTCACATCTCTTTCAACTCATGATTAGGAAATAAGATACTGTATCATTGCTGCTGCATTTAAGGATGTATTTCCATATTATAACCCGTCACCTATAGATCATAAAGTTGTTCTAACCGTTGCAGCATGACTCTTCTTGAGAGCCATCCAAACAAATCAAAATATTTATTTTAAATGAATTTGATGTATTTATTCTATTATATATTTTATCATGCTATCTTTTTTTTATTATCATTTTTTTTAGTTTAACCAGGAAATTTAGAGCTGGCTTGCGCCTGCACCGTTCCCCTTAACATGTCTTTCTTTCCACTTCTTACTTCCACCCAACAGTTAAAATGTTGTTACTTTTTGAGAAATCTCAGATGACTTATTTGAACAAAATATTGTTGGGGGCATTTTATCTTTTGGTAGTCTACTTATCTATTTGTTAATGTGGAACTCACTATAAATGGCCAAAAGAAGCTAATATTTTCTTTTTATTTGAGAGACATTGGGACTTAGTGGCATCGATGCCCTGAATTGAACCAAAAAGGAAAACCGTCTTGTACTTTAAAAACACTTATTGGAAGATTTTACTCTGAATGGAAATTTTTTGAAAACATGAGCATGCCTACTTTTCTGAGTGATGATACAACAACAAAAGAAGCAAATTTTTATTTCACTATGTAGGGTCAGCAATTTACTCAGTGATACATGCAACAAAATCGGACGGAAATAATAGCTTAAGGTAGTTTATCTACTATCTTGCAAAATAAAAAAAAATTATTATCTTTCAAAATAAAAATATTTCAATTGTCTCCATTAGATGTGAAAGACGAACATCCTTACTTTTCCGTAAGTTGTAAAACAATTTTTCTTTTATTCCGGCAAAGGAAATAAAAGGCAGAGCTTCGCACTGAAGTCGCATCATTGATTTTCTTTCATCTGATTTAATTTGATGGTTCACTTGATAAAATTTATTGTAAGGATTACTACTATTCTACACTTCTGTATCATTTGCATCTTGTCCTGCTGTCTTTATAATTATGTTATTGCTGGCATCAAGTGCTCTTTTTTTTTTTTCAGGTTGTTGGCATCATCATTACGTCAAAGGAGGAAATGTATTACCCCTATGAGTTAAAATGCTAGAATTTCTTTGCATAGACATATTCTTTATTCCAGTGACGCGACTGACCATTTATTAACTACAGATATAAACGATTTGATTCAAAAGGAGAGGCCTGGTTTCTTGGAACTTGCAAAGCAGTTAACTGTATGTGTGGATTATTTAAACAAACTTATAGCTTTCATTAATAAAGCTTATCAATCTATATTTTCCCTTAAACAGGAAAACCAATCTGGTCAATTCTTTACACTTTTTAATCTATATTGCAAGGCTTGCCCCATTTATTTGATCTGTTATCCTAAATAAATTCTGAATTGAGTTCGGCTTCAAATAACTTGAAGCCTTTAGTTAAGTTTCTTATTTTTGAAACTTTTTTCGGTAGTCATCTTTGTCTGTTTCAATTAAGCTTTCCTCACCATTGATATTTCCTTTATAATGTCTTTTGCATTACTAAATCCGCAAGCACTTATAAAGGTTAAAGATATTACAAAAACAAATTATGGTTGAAAGAATCAAATGAGGATATGGTATTAAACGTTATCAATTTTTCACCGTTATTTTTTGTATCAAAGGCTCGATATGTGTAATGCAAGTAAAAGACAGTTAAATTATTTACATACACCCTTCTCTGGCTACTGTGCAGGTGGAAGCTGATGAAGCTTGTGTGAGTAATGAGACTACATTGGGAAAAATAAACTCATTTTTTGAGGATGCATGTCATTCCTCATGTGAAGGAATTATGGTAAAGTCTTTGGATGTTGATGCTGGATATTTTGCATCAAAGCGTGCTGAGACATGGTTAAAGGTATTCATGATCAATTTTATGCATTTGATAATGGGAGAATCAATGGAACATGCCAAACCTTGGTCCTGTTGATTCAACTTGGAGTTCTTAGTTTTCATTTTTATAACAAATACAGGTTAAGCGAGATTATGTGGAGGGATTGGGCGATAGTCTTGATTTAGTTCCAATTGGTGCTTGGCATGGGAATGGAAGAAAGGCGGGATGGTAAAGATTGGATCAATCTTACTTCATTGAGCTATTCACGTTGTTTTAAATTTATATGGCCTTGTGATTGACCAGGTACAGTCCTTTCCTTATGGCATGCTACAACCCAGATTCTGAAGAATTCCAGAGTGTGTGCCGGGTCATGTCTGGTTTCTCAGACTCTTTCTATGTCAATGTAAGTGCAATTCTTCTGGATAGTGGTTAAATAAAACACCAAAAAATGAGTATGGATATCTGATTGTCTAATCTTTTCATTGTTCTTTATTCTTGTGCCCAAGCTCCAACTAACATAATCTTAAGCATCATGTTAGACTGGTCTATTAGGGACCGGCCTTTGTTACAAAAGATGGAACCTATCCGCCTCCCTGCTTTCCGCCTCCACCCATATGCATATCTTCTCTCTCAAAGATGGGGATCTTAAACTTTCTTACCCTTAGATTTCCTCCGCTACCCCCCACCCCCCCGGGAATCCTAAATAATTTCTCCTTCCCCAAGTGGGTGGTCTCCCACAAGTATCCCGATTCTCCCTTCTACACTTGTACCTGAAACCTTTTTCAAGTTCTCCCCTCCAAAATAAGCACCTCTCCGGTCATAATCAACCTCCCTTCTTCTAAAATTAGCACCCCTTTGTTCATACCCCACATGTTCATGCCTCTCTCCATACCTTGTACCTATCTCCTCCCTATGAATAGGCTCTTGAAGAGGTCTTCTTTCTTCCCCTTCTAAGATCACCCTACGACTGGCAGAATTTATATTTCCTCCTATAGACACTCTTGCTTCTAATGCCACCGTTGGGCTGTGAAGTTCCAATACCTTCACCATCTCTTCTAGGTTGGAGAACTTATCTTCCAAAGGAGGAAATTTTGTCCTCCATTACTTTAATATGGCTCATATCTCATTCAAGACGTTCTTCTAGAGCATCAACCTTCTTGGCCACTATAGGTACCTGGATCTTGTTCAACAAAAAAAATCGTAAATCTGCCTTTTTAACACCAAAAATCAACAGTTTGGAGGAAAAAACACAGCAAAAATCAATAAGGGTAACCCTCCAATTCAAAACCGGACACCACTCTGATACCAATTTGATAGGGAACAATTGTTGAAATCAAAATAAACTTAGTTGAATTTGAATTTGAGCAAGGTGCAAAACTGGAAATAAGAAAAGCACCGCAGCAACACAAGTGGGAAACGATTATATTGATAGATGGAAGATAACACACAAGATACAATGGATCTTCAATCGGAGAGGAAGATCTAGCTCTCCCAAATCTCTAGATGCCGCTAGAGCCCAAAACAATGAAGAACAAAGTCAATTCTACAAGCATTTGATACCCTAACCCTAGGAAAACATTCTACTTAAAGAATACAATTATAAAGGTAATCTCTAAACAGCACCTCCTTTGAATTCTTTTTCCTAAACCACCTTAATTTCTTCCTAATTGAGGGCTACTCGACCCCACAGCTTGGGGAGGACACATATATATATATATATATATATATATATATATAATTTTATTTTATTTTTTATTTTTTTTAATCCATAATGCTATGGAAAGTTCTAGAAAAGAAAGGAGTGAATAATGCTTATATTCAAGTCATTAGGGATATGTATGCAGGTGTTGTTACTTGTGTTCAAACACAAGATGGGTTGACCAAGTATTTTCCAATTTATGCTGAATTACATCAAGGATCAGCCATAAGCCCATATCTTTTTGCTTTAGTCATGGATGTTCTCACTAGACATTTGCAAAAGATTATACCCTGGTGTATACTTTTTACTGATGATATTCTTCTTGTTGATAAGACTGGAGAGGGAGTTGAAGGTAAACTTGAATTATGGAGGTCAACCTTAGAGTCTAAAGGTTTCATTTGACTAGATCTAAAACTGAATATATGGAGTGTAATTTTAGTAGTAGTAGATCTAGTGGAGGGTTTGTGACTTTGGGTGATCAAGTCATTAATAAGAGTACACATTTTAGATATCTTGGGTCTATTGTTCAGAGTAATGGTGAAATATATGGGGATATTATTAGCATAATTCAAGTTGGATGGTTGAAGTAGAGGAATGCATCAAGCTTATTGTGTGATAGAAAAGTCCCCCTCAAACTTAAGGGAAAATTCTATAAAATGGTGGTGACCTACAATGCTTTATGGTACAGAATGTTGGCCATTAAAAGAGAAGCATAATATTAAGCTAAGTGTTGCAGAGATGAGGATGCTCAGGTGGATGAGTGGCTTTACTCTTAGAGACAGGATACGAAATGAGCATATACATAAAAAAGGTTGAAGTAGCTCTAGTGAAAGATAAGATTAGAGAGAGTCGCCTTAGATGGTTTGGTTTCATAAAACGGTGGCCTTTCGATGACCCATTTATGAAAGTAGATTTATTAGATTTGGATTATGTTAAGAAAGGTAGAGGTAGACTTAAAAAGACTTGGTTAGAAAATATTAGAAATGATATTTCGTTTTTTTAAATTTAAATGAGAACTTAACTCTTAACATGATAATGAAGAAAAAGGATTCTGGTAGCCGGCCCCATGTAGTGGGATAAAGGCTTGATGTTGTTGTTATTGTATATATAGTAGATCGAGGATATCTGACTTATCACACATTGATATCATTTTATCATATAATTATATTGGCTAATAATTGTTGACATTAAACTCATTCGTGTTTTGTATCATTTATTCAATCTTTATTCAACTAATTTTAGGCTATTTAATTTTTGAACTTGTTTTTTATTATTCTAGTTGGTCACTTATTTTAGTTGATGTATAATCAGTTAGAGTTGTTAGATATGGAAATCATATACCAAAACTCTTTCGAATTTTTCATTTTAAGTATTAGGGCTGCAAGCAAATCAAACTTCTGACGAGCTACTCGTTGCTCGGTTCGATTAAATCTTGTTTGTGATCGTTCAATTAACTAAACAAATAAACTTGATTAATATTTTAAATACTTAGTCCTTAAATAAGCAAGCTTGAACACTAATGTGTTTGGTTCATTTATTTTCATGAACAACATTATTTGAAGCTCGTGAACAAGCTCGACATTAATCTCGATAAGAAGCTCGATTCATGTTCCATTCAGAACTCATGAATAAGCTCGATAAAAACTCAATTAATATTTTATTATAAAATTGATTAATAAACATACTAGAAATATTTTATATTTATTATAATTATATAATTATTATTAAATAATAAATTTAAAGTAATTAAATATTATAATATATACTAACATAACCATTGATGTCTTTCTATGAACGTAGAAGATAATCTTTCCGCTATTGCACCAAATGGAGAGAAATGCATTAGGTAAGCTTCGTTTGAAAATATATTCATATAGATTAATCTTAATTTCATTTTACATAGACAACTGCTTTTATTATAAATTTAATTTAATTTAATTTTATACCTTCAATAGAATAAATTTGTTCATGAAAAAGAAACATTTCACATCTATCCATATTTATTAGACTGTTTGTTTAAAATGTTCATGAATAAATATAAGATGAATCATAGATCACTTGTTCGTGATTTGGTAGCTTGAAAAAACTAGTTATATATGTTTATTTGCTTGCTTATTTGATAGCTCAAGAATAATCGTTAGATATGTTCATGAATATACTTTAATAATTTAAAAAAATCGCTAAATATGTTCACGAACATGCTCGATGTAATTGTTTGTTAGGAGACTCGATAAAGCTCATTTGTTAAATTAATGAACATCTAGAAGTAGAGCTTGTTTATAGCTCGTTAAGGCTTGTTTGTTTAAAGCTCGATAAGCACTAAATGAATCGAACATAAACCAAATATGAACACTCATTAATTTAAATGAACAAACATGAACACAAATAATAAAGCTCGAATTAAACACGAAGTAAACTTGAACAAACTGATAATAAATGAACTCAAACATAAACACTCACATACTCAGACTCGGCTTTGTTCATTTGCAGCCCTATTAATTATCTTCATATCAATAAATAAATACATTGACTCAAAGAGTAGTAGTTGGAAACTCTTTGATTGCATAACTACTGCTAATATTAATTAATATTTCATCATATTTATTTTTAATAACGTCAATATATTTTGATACACATCTTTTTCTTTTTTTAGTTTATTGTTTTATTCCCAAATCTAGCATATTCATAAAACTAATACTCTTTTATCTACATTTGTCTAAGACTCTAAGTCTTACCTAAATGTTTATATTCATAACAATGTTACCAACTTTTATTGTCAACATTCCATCAGACTCCCAATCATTTGATCACTTGTATTACATGAATTTTTTAGTTCAAAATTTCATTTGGCGTTAGATATGTAAATACATTGATTTGGTTGGTGCGGGTGGTATAAATGTCCCTTTTGTTTAATGCACACTAAGTTCTCACAATTCTCAATCATAGAACTCTTCAATCATATGAAGTTCATTTTTCCCTCTCTATATTTTTTTATTAATTTCCTTAATGGCAAAAATTACTTCATTGTGGTTCATCTTTAATTTCTCTATGTTTTTATTTCAACATTCTCTCTTGTTACTCTCTAACATGACTCATAAGTTTATCCTTTATAATTATAATTATCTTAATCATTTATTTTGTTCTTAAAAACTGTTATCAAAATACGCATCATCTTAGTTTTCTATATGGAAAAAATCTGTCAAAACACAATATTACCCATTAACTCTCTAAATTTCAATAGCCATATCATCTCTTTCTAAGATTTTACCGTTATACAATCTTCACTTCTCATTCTTAAATTTATTCATATTACTGTTATACAATCTCCACTTCTCATTCTTAAATTTATTCATATTATATATGTTTTCATGTTCTTCTAAAGTAATGTTTTCACCATATTGCCATATTTATGTATCTGAGCAAAGAAATTTTGTTGCAGATGAAGGAATTCTTTTCAGGCGAGCGGCTACTGTCCAGGAAACCTTCCTACTACCAAACTGATGAGTCGCCGGATCTGTGGTTCTCGCCAGAACTAGTTTGGGAAATTCGGGGGGCAGGTACTACTAATTTCTTCTCTTCTAATATCTCAAATATGAAAAAAAAAATAGGGAAATTTACATACATATGACTGAATTATTTATAAATTTACAATTATTTTTAATTATTTGAAATAAAATGCATATTTTATGAATATAATATAAAAATTGCGTAATATATTTTATGAATATAATAAAATGCATAATTTCTTCTCTTCTAATATCTCAAATATGAAAAAAAAAAATTAGGGAAATTTACATACATATGACTGAATTATTTATATATTTACAATTATTTTTAATTATTTGAAATAAAATGCATATATGCTAATTAAAATTTAATTAGGATAGATTTTAACATCATTAAGTTTTTTTTAGATGAATATAATTAAAAATTAATCAATTAGACTTCATTGGGGATGGCTCCCTCGAATATCACTGAACATGAATCTAACAACATGCTTCTGTATAATGGAAGATCTGACCATCTCACCCGTTCATCATGCTGCCGTTGGATTAGTTCACCAATCTCGAGGCATATCAGTGAGGCTTCCCAGGTTTATTCGTTCGCTATCTGATAGGAAACCAGAGGATTGCAGTACTGCATCTGATATTGCCTTCATGTTTCAATCTCAGACAAGAAAAATGGCGATTAGTAATGAAGATTAGCTAAGATGTTTGTATAAAGATTTATTTTTTTCCCACAAGGTTTGTTTATATTATAAGTTGCCTTATAAATAGAGAATTTATGTACATAATATTTAAAAGTTGTCAATTTACATATCTAACATTTAAAACTTTCAGAATACACATATAACATCCATTACTACCATATTCACTCATTTCTATCACTTGTTCTGTCTTTGTGAGATGAGTGTGTAAGCTCTTGAGCTGTGTGTAGATCTTCTTTTGGTACTTGTCATTCTTGTATTGTGTGAGAACTTTCATCCGTTCGTATTTCTCATGCCCTAAATTTTATTATGCTAGTACTAACATTGTTTGGAGCGAAAGCTCTTGCTCTCGTGGAACTTGCAAGTTTTGTTGGTATTTCTTATCATGGGCGGAGGGAACGTGCAAGTTCCACGAGAGCAGCAAACTTATAGTCGAACTTAACGTATCAAAAATACGGACCCAACGCACCAAAATCGACTCAATCCGAACCCAAATGACTCCAGATCAAAGACCCGAAGCATATTTGGAAGGTTTAAATTATAATTTGGATTACCAAATGGTTTTAAAATAAAACATGCTTATAGTCGAATTGAGCGGCTAGACGAGACGAATCCAACGAGCTCAAGATTGCCAAATTCTAAAATCATTAAGCAATTTAAAAGCCCAATAAACAACCTACGATCAAGCGATTCAATATTGGTCGTCCGTTCAAATAACTCACAATTTAATTTTCTATTCATTCACATTTTTTTTTCTTGGTCGATATTAGCTTAATCCTATATTGATTCGATCTTAAAGAGATTTTATGATTTTTTTTTTTTTGCAATGAGATTTTTAATATCACGTATTTAGTTAATATATTGAACCCGTTCTAGCAGAAATCAAGTGATTTGATGACTGAAAGTCATTTTGTGAAGGAAAAAAAAAATAAACTAATTCACTATCAAAGTTTTATCATTTTTAAAATTGATTATATCGGTCCCAATCCTGGATGTAAAAAGTTGAAGGAAAATTTAAAAAAAAATTAAGTTAGGCCCTTCTAAATACATTTTCTGACTCCAATACTATTTCTTATGTCTTTTTTTCTGTTTATTGTCGTTCTTCTTCCTAGGAGAACTTAACGTTCTTATTCTGGTGAGAACTCTTCCTGCCCTAAATCTTTCTGCTGTTTGGTTGAAAGAGGCAGTCGATTCCATCAATTAGCATGATTAAGAAATTGTTTGCTGCAGAATCATATGGGCAATATTTCTTTTGTTCTGAAGTAATGAGATGAATGCTATCAGAACTGATATCTCTGAGGTTCGAAGAAACTGGCATTTGTTAAATGATGCTTCAGTTGCATATGCATTAAGAGAGTATATTATGAGCTTGATTAAGTGCCTGAGGGTTATATTTATTTTTAAATAATATTTTAAGAGATTATATTTTTCTGTTTTGAATTAATTTTTGTTGATGCACAATAGTAACCTTTCATTCTTTCCCCAACGAAGACTTCATCAAGCTGCCCTTCGATGAGTGTCATGAGCCTGATTTTTTTTGGACATATTTTATAATTTTTGAATGGATCAATATCAGCATAGTATAGGGTATAACATTTCAGAATTGGGTTACAATAAATTTTATAAAGGACAACTCCATTGCGAGAGTGGTTGCGCAAAAGCAAAAAAAGCTTTTCCCCTTTCCAAGGTGAAGACACGTAAATAGATAGACACACAAAAGAAGATAAATTAGGAAAGACGGCAATATAAATTTAGAAACAAGTGAGAAATCAAAAAAAAAAAAAAAAAAATTAACATCATCAAAATGAATGTTAAGATAAAATAATAATAATAATAATCATAATCATAATAATAAGAGATAAAAGTTTTTAAAAAGTGAAAATGAAATGAATAAGTTTATTTAAATATATTTCATCATAATATATGTTTGCTATTTTAAAAACTCTTAGATTAATCCTTCTTACATGAAAATCTGTATTTCAAAAATAAAAATTATTATTTTAAATTATAAGTCCATGTATATTATCATATTGTTTTATAAAGAAGCTGACAATTCCCCTAAACTTATTTTTATTTTCAACACTTTGTTCATTCCAATATATTTATCCCATTCCAACATTTCATACTCTAATGCATGATGTGTCTTCAATCAAGACAAGAGAACTTCACACGTTTTTCCTGCTCCTCCTTTTTGCCACCCCGGCAAGGCAGAGAACCTATCTCCTTTTGCTTCCTCCTGAAGCTGGCTGAGAACCACAACCAAAAGCTAACTCCTTTCCTCTACCGACCCTTCCACGGACGAGAAACTCTAGACAAAGAACAAGCAGAACGATCCTTGAAGCAAAC